GTAACCAAAATATATCTATTAAAGGAACTCCTTGCCTTTGGACTGCGCCACCTAAGGCTGAAAGTCGTGAAATTTTTTAACCAAATTCCACTAAGGTTACGAAACTGAGCAGCACGTGAACACATGGTTCACATCTTCCCCTTTACAAACATAGCAACGAGAGAAGCTTTAGAATCTTTCCTTTGAATCCTAGTGCTTGTATTGTCCTTCAGTCTATATAGGCCACCAAAACGAATTCTCAACTTTTAAGAACTTAGAATTCCATAGAGGTTTACTTCATCAAAACCTATAGTTCAGATGTTCAAATAGAGATACGCGGGAAAAGGCACCACACTTCCTCAACATCCAACCTCTCGATTCAATGGCAGCATCAAGATTCACATTCACCACTTATTGATCAGCACTACCTATTCTAACACTTCCCTATCATCCAGGAAGCATCGACACGCAATTTTGAAGCGAGTGTCAGTGTCTGACACGCCCAAATAAGTGTCCGAATTTTTTCTTTTAAGGAACGGACACACGGGTGACACGATAGGACACACGGGCAACACGAAAATATAATTCCTTCCATATTCTTTTAATCTTTCAGCCCACCAGCCTATTAGGTTTTCCCTTTTTTTTCTTTGCAAAGGCATTAAGTTCTTCAATTTTTTTCAGTTTCCAGCTACCCACGAGTGCACCTCCACTAAATTTTCTCCACCCACGAAAATCTCCTCCGATTCAGCTGTTTTCTTCTGCTTCTCCACGTGAAATTCCTCCGCCATTTTCTCCTTCATTTTGACGTTGGTTATTGTATGAATGTTATGTATTTAGGTTAACGGTTAAAGTAAAAATATACTTTATTAATGCACACATGTTTTAATTAAAAAATATTAACGTGTCCTACTTTTTTGGAAATTTACGTGTCACCATGTCCACCTCGTGTGTCGGGTCTATGCTTTCTAAATGAAAGACATCCTAAAGTTCAAAATCCGCCTGACTTAATATTTTCCAAAATCAAAGTGATACTCTTCCGGTGACTATCCGTGCGACAGAATATAGACAAGGAAATAACAACGGCAGCTATTTCCTGAGAGTATCCTACTAGAACCCAAATTCCCAATTTTGAAAGAAGCTATCACAGCTCAAACTAAAGGACAGGGGCTTGTACAGAAGTGTTACAATTTAGCTTGAGAACCAGCCAAAAGGATCGATCAGCTGTCAATGGCATTTTAGCATTTCAACCACATCTCGTCACTCACAATTCAACCTACATGCATATATTGATGCCATAACTCCAAATGCACCAAGTTCAATGCAAAATATCTTTTTTACCTCTCTTGCTCTCTCCCCTCACTTCACCTTCTGATTCTTCTCAAGTCGTTATTTCAAGCTCTCTCTAATGGACTTACTGTTTAGCACTTGTTCATCTTACCATGGCAAGTAGATTTAGCCCTTCGAAGTCACATGATGTCAAGAATAACTTCCTTTTGATGAAATTTTCAATGGAAATAGATTCCTACCAAGTGAACATGGGTGTTGTAAGTCATTTTTTATGTCCATTAAACGACCTTCAATTGGCCAATGTTGTAAGATGATTCTAAAATGAGCAGAACAAAAGTGGAAGATTAACTCTATGCAACTTGGTCCTTGCCAATCTGCCCACTTATTATCTCTCTGTCTCAAATTCCTTCGGGTATTTGTAAACAAATTGAAAAGAATATGAGAAATTTCTTATGGGAAGGTAATTCAAAAGGGCCCTTGATGTGAACTAGAACATCACTTCTAAGTCTCTTGCAGATTGCGGTCTAGGAGTTGGGGGTCTTGCTCAAAGGAACAACGCCCTTTTGGCAAAGTGGGGTCGGCGTTTTGGCCTAGAACCTTGCTCTCTTTGGCGGATGGTGATATATGGCTCCATTTCTTTTGGCTGGTCAGTAGCCGAGCGACCTAATTCTTGTCGTCGTTGTCCTTGGAGTAATATTATTAAGCAATGGAAAAAAGTGGAGCATCATGCACAGTTCACAGTTGGTAATGGAGATAGGGTTTCCTTTTGGCACCATATTTGGATAGGCAAGGAGGCTTTAAAGGTTTGTTTTCCTAATATCTTTAAGCTCTCCTCTTCCTAATGCCTCTGTTTCTCAGTTTTGGGACTTCATTTCTAGTGCTTGGCACCTTGAGACTAGGAGATCTTTAAGAGATGATGAATTTGAGGAGTTTTCAGCCTTGCTAGCCTTTCTTAACTTGGCCTCGGTTAGTGACGATGTTGATAGAAGGCACTGGACTTTGGAACCTTAGGGGGTCTTTCCAGTAGCTTCTTTATGTAAACAACAGAATTCTACACCTTTGCCAAAGGAATTGTTCGGTTGTGGAAATATAACAGTCCAAAGAAAGTAAATGTTCTCGTATGGATTCTTCTTTATGGCAAAGTTAATACGGTTGATGTTCTTCAAAAAAAGAACCCCTCAATGGTTCTTTATCCCTCCATTTGCTCACTGTGTGGCAAGTCTTGTGAGTATCAGCAACATATTTTCTTCCAGTGCTCTTATTCTGCTTCTTGCTGGAAGCTGTTCTTTGAGATTTTCGAGGTTTCTTGGGTTTTTGACTTCGAAGTTGCAAAGGTTGTTCACTCATTGTTAATTGGTCCAAATTTTGCACCAAAGGCGGTTCTTCTTTGGCGTAACGGAGTCAAAGCTTTACTGTCCGACATTTGGTTTGAAAGGAATCAAAGGCTTTTCAAGTGGGAAAAAGCTTCGGTTGATGTTTTCTATTTAGCCAAGTTTAAGGCTTCTCAATAGTTTGCACTTTCCAATATATTTGTTAATTATTCTTTGAGGATGATTTGTTCTAACTGGGAGACTTTTATAACTCCCTCTTAATTTTCGTTTTTGTTTATTGTTTTGTTTACATTTTCACTCCTTCACGGGTTTGTATCTTTAAACAATTTTTTGTTCATTTTCATTAAATCAATGAAAAGTTCGTTTCTTGTTAAAAAAAAAAGATTTTGTCGGTTTTGCGGGAGATTGTTGACCTCTGTTTGGTTAATCCCTTACATCTTGACAAAGCATTGATAAGAGTAGGATCCTCAACCAATCTAGTCATCTCTCAAAAACAAGCACTCGATGATGGTCCAACAAAAGTGGTTTTCCACTGGCAATGAAGGAAGGTTAGATATCTTTTATGGAATTTTTTTTAATAGAAAATGGAATTCTCGAAATGCAATATAGATATAGGCCCTCCCTCCCCTATCTGATTGGACTTGAAGGGTCAAATCCTCCAAAGCATGTTGCACGACCCTTCATTTATCTTGACCAAATATTTGAGTCTATCTTGAATCAACTATTTTCTCCTCTAATAATATTAATTTTGTATGAGCAGCTAATTCAGAAGGGGTTGATCTAGTATGGAGTTATCAGAACAAGTTGTTAGCTTTATCAAACAAAGGTATGTCTGGAGGTCTAGGTTGCCCCATATTCAACCATCCTGGCTAAGCCTCAACTAGTTTTTTGATAACACGAAAAAGGAAAGCATGCAACAACAAATGAACAAGACGAGTAAAGATTCCCCAACCCCTATACCATATACGTGTATGTTTGATTTACAAGATGTAATGCAATCCACATCAAGCTCTTGGTGGTAATCATACTATGGAAGATGGGTAGAATCAAACCTCGTTGAAGTTTTTGATTGAGAATTCCTTCAAGATGAATGGAGAGTGTGCAGTAGGCTGAGAACTGATGGAAGTAGACGAAAAAAGAAAAATGAGGGGCAAAAATGTCACAACCAAACAAGCTCCTAATCACATTGGCAAAACCAAAAGTCATGAAATATCTTCAGACCGTAACCACTTTAACCAAATTCCAGCTGCATTTCAGGAGTTCCTCATAATAAATGCACCTGGGTTCCAGATCAGCAGATTTACAACAGCCCAAGTCAAACACAGCAATCTGCCCTTCTCGTTCTCTTCCTCCTCAAACGGCCTTTTACGTCACCAAGGTCCACAATAGATAAAAAGTTCTCCATCAAGAATTTGATAATGTTGAACCCAAACCGCATTACATCCTTCTTCAGCTGCAAACCACTACCCAATCTGGTTGACTTTTGAATTTTTTATGTTTTATTAATGGAATCCTGGGTAATTTTCTAATTCAGTTTCCATTGCAACACTTATTCAAGTTCATGATTTAATCCGATAGAATTAAATATTTTTAGATTAAAAATGACTCCCTGGGTTTTTTTTTTTTTAACAAAAGAAACAAGTTTTTCTTAACGAGAAATAAGTTCACTGATGAGATGGAAACTTTAAATAACAAAAGCTTTCCTAGAATTACAAAAACACATTCCAATTATAAGGATATCAAAGAAGAGGAATAATAACAAAAACAGGCTTATAATTGGCACTCCAAAGAGAAACTAACACTGTTAATTTGATCCTAGAAATATCCACTCCATAGCAAGACCCTGGAAAATCCTTCCAGTTCTCTCAAGCCAATTGTACCAGAAAAATAGCACAGATACTATTAGTATTACATGTAGACCTGACACCTTCCTTTTGTCTTTGAAAGGAGACCCGGAAAGAGAGAGGGATATTAATCTAGTGTTTGCTGTCCCTAGAAGCAGTGAGGTTTAGAACAAAGGTCTGCACTCTGCAGCAACTTCTGCCTGGTGCGTTAAGCATACTTACAATGAAGAAAGATCCATTCTTTCACGAAAGAACTTGGGGAGAATGCACGAACGAGATTCGAGTGCAATGTTTGGATTTCTAGTATTGCATCGTATCATTAGTGCTTAGCTTCACTCTCAAAGAAATGATAATAATAATAATATAAATTAATTAATAAAACCCTCGTCCTCTTAGTCTTAGGATACTCACCTTTTTCTTTACATTTTTTTTTTTTAACAAGCTCAGGATACTCCCCCTACAATTGGCAGGGGAAATTTTAAGAATCTATGGTCTTTCTGGTAAAAAGTTGTATATGATAATTTGGAGTACCATATCTTTATACCAGCATCTCATGTTCTTTTTTTTTTAAATATCAATGAGTGTCCAAGTCAGCTTATGTGAACTTTAACTAATCTCATGAGACAACTAGACCTTCCTACAATTAGTTGACAAAGAAATTCGTAGGATATTAAATCCTATGTAGGTAGCAACCATAGTTTGAACTCATTCCCCTCCAAGCAATTTACTTTTCTTACTTGGCCCGATGACCTTCAGGCCAACCCATGATAGTCGCATCTCATGTCCTCTCTATAGTCGAGAGGATAACATTTTCTTCATGGGCCGAGCAAGCCATTCTTCAACCTCTCAAATTTTCTGAAGAGATTTAAAGCCTAGGAGCTTGTTTGTTCATTCCAATAGTTGAAAACCATTGCTGATTTGGGAATTGGTAGGTAGAAACAATCTTGGAGAATGTAAGAAATTACGTACCCATAACCCAGCAATCAAACATCTTACCAAACTTCTATTCTGTAACCTTCTCAGTTTGCACACAAGGAAAGAGACTGTCTTCGACAGATTTTGCAGGCAAAAATATGCCTCCAAGGGCTCCTTTTAGTGCAAAGCTTATTCAGATGAGTACCAGCCATGCTTATCCTGACCATGAATATTAGTGATAATTTTATGCCACATATTTTGCTTCTCCACTCCTCCTAAGCCACATAAGAAGGAATGCTATGTTCCTTTTTGCAATCCCACAAAAAGTGAGACCGCCAAAATCAAAAGGAAGCTCAATTTTACTCCGTTTCACAAGGTGAGATCGTCCATCAAGATAAGGCCCTTCCAAAAACAATCATATTGCAAATGTTTATGGCTATCTTTGAGGGAGCGTTGAATACCAATAAGAAATAGCTTGGAAGGATATTTAAAACTGACTGTGCCAATGTTAGTCAGCATCAGCCCCTTCAAAAAAATTGGTGCTTCCTCAATTTCTTGATCCCCATCTAAATTTTTTCAATAAGGTACCGCTCCTTGGATTCCCACCTAAAGAAAAACCTGAATATTTAATGGGAAAGCCACTACTCAAGCAAGAAAATACACCAGACACTTCCATTTCCTCCTCCAAGAGGTTGATACCACTGCCACTTTACCAAGATCGACTCTTAAACCAGAATTCAATTTGAAGCATTTCAAGTTAATCAGATTATCAGTATTGCCTAGACATAAAGGATAAGAGCCATACATAGTCTGCAAACATATGCGACTGTTAGAGCTTCCAATCATAAAGCTTTCCACTAACTTAAAACATTGTGCCCCTGAAATAATTCAGCTCAAGCTATGAGTCACTAACACAAAAAGAGGGAGATAAAGTATCCACTTGATTGCCTCTATTGGAAAATAGCATGCCTTTTGGCTTTCCATTTAATATCACCGGGAAATTGGCTGATCAAAGGCAACTTCTAATCCGAGATCTCCACCTCACAGGATCACACCAAAGCATTAATTTCCTAGTATGCAGGAAACCCAATCAATAAGGTTGTAAGCCTTTTCATCAAGTTTTGAAACAAACCCTTTCCTCCAATCTTCCACCACTTCATTAACCACAAGAACTGAATCAATGATTGGCAACCGCCACAACACCCACAAAAGCTGTCTGAAATTCAGATATTGTCTCGGGAGGGATGGCCTTAAGTCTAACCATGGGTGCTTCTTGCAGGAATAAGGACTGATAGTCAGTATTATAATCTACAAATCCTTCACCTCCTTCATATCAACTCTTTTGCGCATGAAGATTATATATATTTCATTTCCATTTGTATTACAATCCCCTTCTCAAAAAATTCAAGGAACTCTAGGTTTGATAATGTTTTGCGAATTGTTTAGGAACCCTGAGGGGAACACATCAAGCCCAGGGGCCTTACTCTGAAGTGAACAAATCAGGTTGAAGAAACACTAGTACTCATCTACCACTTTGAGCAAACTAACTATGTTTTTTTGTTTCCGTCTAAGTTCTTCATTTCAGAAGATATCTCCCAGTTGGATCCTCCCAACCAATCTGCAAAGGTGATAAAGATATTTGGGTTTCAGTGTATCCCACCATAGGACATGACGAGTGAATTTAGAACGAGCAAAATTAATCCATAAAAACCATAAAATCAATACCAGAGAAGAGAGAGACGCCCATTGCAAACTCTATTGCAAGGAGACTCAAAAATTCATAATATCAAAAAGAATCGTTGCAGATAAAACCCTAGTGGGCTACCTATAGCCTATAGCTCTACAAGATAATAGAAATTACTAACAAATCCTATGTCACTAACTGGCCATTGACAAATTAATAAAAAGTAGTATATAAAATTTACTTTCTTTGTTTTTATAAAAAACATGACAGCTAACTAAAAATAAAACAGTTTAACTAAACCAAAATTATCTTTT